AGCCCACGTGGAAGGCAAGGGTCGCTGTGGGGGGGAGAGGATGGAGAGGTCTCCGGGCCCAGTTTGTATCACCGGGGAGCTGACCTGGCGGTAAGGCTTGCCGTGCGCTTTGGCCGAAGTGTGCACTGCTCCTAAAATAATAAAACTAATTGGTATGAATTGAGTCTTAAGTGTGACTTGAAAGTAACATCGGTAGGCCCCGAGTTATACTTGGCTGGGGTTGCAGATCCTGCTGTGCTCTCCAATCTAGTTGACTTACTTCACAGCTTCAGAATTTGTGGTCGGCTGCACCAGTCAACCCAAACTTGACTGTAAGAATCTGTAACTTCCCCACGCTACCTGTCGTGGCTGTGTTAGTGTGGCGATCCAAGAGCAGGGAAGTTTGCAGAGGACGGTTTATTTTACTGAACCAGTTGAAATTAACCAAGGGCAAATGCAATAGTGTTGCTCGTATTTATTGGAATAAGGATGGGGAAGGAGGAGACTGAACACTAATGCAGAAGGTCGTTTGTCTTAGAAGAGAAGATGACGGGAAGAGCTAGAGCCAGAGCAAGAGGAAGACCTCCAGGACAGGAGGCTGCTGTTCCTTCTGTAGGAGCCGCATCTGTAAGTTGGTTCTCTCTTTTAATTAGCACAGCTAGGCTTTGAAATGTCATAGCTCAACTACTATCTCTTCTAATATCAGGTATCTATGTTAGGTGATACGTATGTGTATGTGCATATTATGTCAGCTGTATAGTTACGTTAACTCCTTTTTATTAAGGAAATTTTTGTATGCTTAAAAACAAGTACTCTCTTGCAATGCAGTTGTCCTAATAGAACTGGTGGAAATAGGTAGACGTTTCATAGTCTGCTTTTTCCACTGTGGTACCCTGCAGAGAAACGGAATATAATTAGGCTGCTGCCGCTGTTGATGCGTATTCGGGCAGAACCTGGGCCTGGCAGGTGTTCTGACCTGTTCCTGTTGGTTTTAATATTAATATCAAGGACTTTCTGTCTCTGCATTTGAGCTAGTGTTTAGGGCTTGTTTTGTGCGTATATGCCCTGTTCAAACTGTAGCTTGAAAATGGCTGATACTTCTTTATTTGCAGCCATTGCCACATACCTGGAGATTTTTTAAAGCAGTTCCCCAAATTTGTCAGTAGTTAATAACCATCTTTCATTTGGGAATGTGATCAGATTGGAGGAGTGTTCCTCATCCATTTCTTGTCAATGTGGGATGAGTTCAGACCCTGACAGAAAGTAGTTTACAGTTCTGTTTCTCGAATAGTGAAATGCGTCTTGCAGTAGCATTGATGCACCTCTTGAACCTGGAACAGAATTTATAAACCTAAGAGGGCTGATTACTTCAAATGTGGTTTCTTTGACTTGAATAGAATTGTTAGCAGAAGTCAGGAGGTGATATCAGTGTGCTGCTGTGGGTGAAGAGGAGAGTAAAGGAAACAGTGAGGCTTAGGGACTTTACATGGACTATGAATATTTATGCAGTCTGAGTGGAGGAGTCTGGTTTGGCTTTTTTTTTAATATAAGCTGCTGCTGTTAGACTGTGTGCATCCCCCTCCAAGAGACTTAGTTCCAGAAGTGTTTCCAAAGACACGTTGAAAAGCGGTTGCGGAATGAGTAAGAGGGTTTACATTAGAAGTTTGGAAAATGAGGGCTGAGGCATGCACACTGTCTCAGTTTAAGTGAGAACATAATCTGTGCTCATTGCAGGGAAAGGTGGGAACAACTAGCCATGTGTTGTAGAAGTGAACCATACCATTTGACTTTTACACTGGACTGATACAGAGGTGTCATGATACACCAAGTTCTTATTACTGAGCTTTTTATCAAAAAGCGTTAGTGAGATTTAAGGAGGTCAGGGACCCGCCTTTCCTTCTAATGTCCCAACAACCTGGTGATCTTTCTTGCTGCAGAGGTAGGAAAGAGGATAGGTTGGTCACTCGCTGGGAAATCCTTCCCAACGTGGAGACTGCAGCCTCCAAGGAGGATACCAAGAAGATGGAGCTTGGCTCTTTGTAATGGTGCATGGTGGGAGGGCAAGGCACAATGGACACAAACTGAAGCAAGAGTTGTTTTGACTGGACGTAAAGAAAAATGTTTTCGTGATGAGGACAGTCAGGGACTGGAACAGGTTGCCCACTGAGGTTGTGCAGTCTGCATCCTTGGAGATGGGATAAATCTCTGAGCCACCGGATCAGACCTCATGACTGAACTTGCTTTGAGCAGGAGGTTGGACTAGAGATCTCCGGAGGTTTTTATTACTCCTGAGTAATTCCAGCCTGAATTATCGTGTGGTTCTATGAAGGATAGGGTTGTTGAAACCCCCCTTCCCTGCACCCATACAGTGAACCCTATCCCAGCATAATCTCTTGCTTCAGTTCATAAAGTCATAGAATTATTTAGGTGTGAAAAGACATTTAAGATCATAGAGTCCAACCGTTAACCTAGCACTGCCAAGTCCACCACTACACATCTTTTAAATCCCTCCAGGGATGGGGACTCAACCACTTCCCTGGGCAGCCTGTTCTGGTGCTCGATAAACCTTTTGGTGAAGAAATTTTTCCTGGTATCCAATCTAAACCTCCCCTGGCGCAACTTGAGGTCATTTCGTCTTGTCCTATTGCTTGTTACTTGGGAGGAGAGACCAACACCCACCTCTCTACCCCCTCCTGTCAGGAGCTGCAGAGCGATAAGGTCTCCCCTCAGCCTCCTCTTCTCCAGGCTGAACACCCCCAGCTCCCTCAGCCGCTCCCCACCAGCCCTGTGCTCCAGACCCTTCCCCAGCTCCGTTGCCCTTCTCTGGACACGCTCCAGCACCTCAATGTCCTTCTTGTACTGAGGGGCCCAAAACTGGACACAGTACATGAGGTGCGGCCTCCCCAGCGCCGAGTACAGGGCGACAATCACTGCCCTGTTCCTGCTGGCCCCACTGTTCCTGACACAAGCCAGGATGCTGTTGGCCTTCTTGGCCACCTGGGCACACCGCTGGCTCATGTTCAGCCGGCTGTCAACCAGCACCCCCCAGTCTTCTGCCAGGCAGCCTGTGGCATTGCTTGGGGTTGTCGTGACCCAAGCGGGGGTCCGGCACTCAGCCTTGTTGAACCTCCTACAGTTGGCCTTGGCCTATCGATCCAGCCTGTCCAGATCCCTCTGCAGAGCCTTCCTACCCTCAAGCAGATCAACACTCCCGCCCAACTTGGTGTCTTCTGCAAACTTACTGAGGGCGCATTCAATCCCCTCGTCCAGATCATTGATAATGACTTGACATGGAGCTCTGCTCTGATCCTTTAAGGGATGGGAAGGGAATATAGTCAGCTCAGGATAGCGGGGCTCGGTGCCTAGCTGTTGGACTAGAGAATTCATGTAGGTGACATTGCCGCTTCCTTCAGGGGCAAGGATGGAACATAGATGAGACAGGCAAAGCAGAACAGATCTTTCCTGAACTACTTCTATGCATACTACAGAGAGCACAAAAGTTGTGATAATATGCTGTTACTGTGATAGTACTGGACTGTGATAATTTTCACGTTACGGGTTGTGTACATTCGATCCTTGCAGTAGTGCTTATGGGCATTTACAGACTTCTTAACTTCTTAGAGGGCATACTTTTGATAGATCTTACAACGTGTAGAAATAAGGTGGAGAACAGAGAGGCCTGCTTTGTTACGGATCTTGTGTTCGGTGTCAGAACATGCATATGGGAATCACAAGACACGTGCCAAGAGCTGAGAGCAAAGGAGTAGAGGAGCTCCAGGAATGGTTTGCTGGCAGGTTGTGTGGCACTGGTTCGGGGGTGCCTGCTGCGATGTTGTTGGGCAAGACAGAGCCGGGCTGCCTCTCTAGCTCAGGTTTCATGATCATCCTTGCTATTGGCCTCTTGCTTGCTTGCACGTAAAGTAGAGAACTTGATTACTCCTGGAGGGACTAACCTGTGGGGCAGACTGCAATCCAGTAACGTGAAACTCTTGAGTTGTGGGATTGCTCATGGCTGAAGGTTGTGTATTGCAGTTCTTCCAGGCATGACAGTTTTTAGTATCATTTATTCACTAGACACTAAAAATACAAAAGCTGTTTTTAGAAAATAAGTAGTCAGCTACTTGAAGTATCAGCAGGGTTGTTAAAAATGAGAAGTCCAGAAATTTTAGTTAGAGCTTGGAAAGAGAAGGTTTGCATTTACTACTAGTTAAATGAATATTAACTTACAAAAAAAAAAAAATTCCTGAACCCCTTTATTTTGAAGTTCGAAGTACAGAGTAATAACTCTGCTACTTAATATAGGAAAAAAGATTTCACCTTAGTAACTGTTACACTTGGGCATTTGAGTATTCTGCACTTGGTTAGTGACTTTGCTTTGCTGTACTCCTGGAAGTATGCTGTTTCTTCAGTTGCAGTAGGAAAAGTTGCTCCCAACTGTTGCAGGTTCAACAGACCTTGCCAAGTCAGCCACCCGGCCGTCGGCAACTTCAGCAGCCCCGTGTTCCTCCGTCGGTGTTAGAAGAACCTGGTGGCCGTGGCCGACACAGGGGCCCTCAGAGTGTTCCCCAGCGCCAGAACGGGAGAAGGCCGGAAGGTCAGAAAGGGTGAAAAAGTTCATTGCCCACAAGAGCAAGTGTTTTGAAGAGAATGCAATTAAGACATTCTTTAGACTGTATTTCTAATTTTTCTTTTCAAAGTGTGATTTATTACTAAGATTTGGAAAAGTTGACTGTACATGCCTTGGGATGACAGTATTGTCATTCTAAGGTGCAGTATAACTGAACCAGGAATTTTGAAAACTACCTTCAGTGTGCTCTACTCCATCTGTACCATCTCCTATATCAAAATAGTAAAAAAAAAAAAAAAAATTAGAAAGCAGTTGGCACAGTTAACTGCATGAATACGAATAGTAAATTTCATTTTGATATTTCATTGTTTTTCTTGAATCTTCATAAGGAAATTAAACTTTCTTACCTATTTCGCATCACAGTGTATCGAAACATTTTGCTGCTAGCTGGAGCTGAAATGAAAGATCTGTCCTCCCTGTGTTTGCAGAAGAGATTGTTGATTTGGAGGGTTTACATCTTTTTTCATCTGGCTAGTGAGCTGTTCATTTTGCTTACTAGTTAACTGTCTGTAAGGCTTAGGAAGCTAATATGTGTTACCTGAATGCTACTCTAAGATGAATTTACTACATAGAAAAAGCTGAAACTTAACATTTCATGATTTCTCTTAATTTTGTATATATCTGACTTTCAAAATTGAATTGTATTCAATTCTTATCTCTATATAAAACTTGATTGTAATTCTTCCTCAAATTTCCAAACAACAGGATTACAGATTTCGGCAGGATTTCAGGAATTGTCGTTAGCGGATAGGGGTGGACGTCGTAGAGATTTCCATGACCTCGGTGTAAATACTCGGCAAGCCATAGAACATGTTCAAGAGTCAAAAACTGGTATGTTCAGGTTAGACTATGGACATATAAGCAAGTTGAAATGAAAAAATACTTTGCTTTGTTTCTGCTTCTAGTATCCCCTGGAGAGCCACATAAAAACATCTTCATTGTGTACTAGAAAAAGTTACAAGTTGCTCCTGGTATCTGCACAGGAACAGTAAGATAACATGTCTGATGGCAAAGTGCTTCAGACAGAAATTGTGTAGCATTTTAAATTGCAACTGTTTAGACATAAGTGATGATACTTGTATGTTCCTGATGCCCACTTCTACAAGCAGGACTCTTCAGGGCTCTGTAGGTTTGCTTCCAGAATTTCTGGTTTGTAATGCATTGACCTAACCAAACTCGTAAAGATCTCCTAATGAATGTAGAATTTGAGGCCGCTTCTGAAGGAACTTTCTAGTTTAAATAAAAGGTGATATGCTTCTTTCCTTGAGATGAATCGTGCATATGAGAAGCAGTAAAAGGAGGCTGTCGTGATGGTCCTGCCTTCTTGCTAGAATGCAATTGTTTTTAATGTTCAACAGTGCGGGTTCTGTGCTGATAATAGTTTTGTATTGCAAGTGACTCTGTGAGACATCATAACAGTATAACAGCAACCATAGTCCACTTTTCCTTAATTGCATGGTAACTGGAGCATACCACAGGAATGTAAAGGCTTAGTTCTGCTCCAGTCCCTTTGGGTCAGAAGCAGTATAGTTGTTTTCTTTTTCCCCTAGATTTTCTGTCTAGAAAAACAGAATGGTGCTAGATCATGGATCGCTGTACTTAGTAGGCAGCTGTATTGCTGGCCTTTTGTTTTTTCTTTATAGCTTTGTACAGATAGGAAAAAACGGGTAATAAAAACCAAAATAAAGGAATGCCCCATAATTGTCTGCAATGTTTTTTGTATTAGACTTGTGTCTCTAAGTCTAAAAGAAATTGAAATGAGACATGAAAAAAATAGGAAGAAATACTTGAAATAAGTGATCTGGAGCTAGTTATTATTCTTGTGGGTTTTTTGTTTGCTTGTTTGTTCATGAAAAATCTTGAAATACCAAAATAAATGTCATCTTGTCACATATGAAAGGGAATGTGGATATTTCTAGTGATAGTTATTTTTTGTTCTATGTTTATGATTCATGTAAAGAAAGATTAATTTGTCCACAAAGGAAGTTTATGTTTTGGTGGAAATTCGTCTCTCTAGTGCCTGGTACTAATCCTTTGGGAGGCAGGTTACTGATCTAAATGCTTACCTCGTTTGATCTGAGAGTTTTCCTGACCACTGAAGGAATTACAAAAAGCTCTAATGAGCGGGTGAGTGTCTATGATAACACTGTGCCTGTGTGAGCATTTCCTGTAGCTTACTGAGCTAGAACAGTTGCGGAACACAGCGACCTCTAATCTTTGTCTGAATGCCTTATTTTTTAAAAAATTTCTCAAAGCTGTTGGATTACTATAAACTGGTAAAACATTGTAACTACCAAGATGTTTGCCTCTCATTTTAGGTTCTTCAGGTGTTATGATAAAATTAACTACAAATTACTTTCGTTTGACGTCTCGACCCCAGTGGGTTTTGTATCAGTACCATGTTGGCTACAGTCCTGAGATGGAAGCACGCCGCCTTCGATCGGCTTTGCTCTTTCAGCATGAAGAGCTAATTGGAAAGACGCATGCATTTGATGGATCAATACTATTCTTGCCAAAAAAGCTAGGGAACAAGGTGTGATATGAGAATGCTATTTTATTTTTTTTATTTTGACTTGCATTTTGTGATGCTTCTTGTTTCTTACTGGTGTGGATGAAGTTAGAGACTTGATGTCCCATGAGCAACATTTAGTTGGATTGAATATGTTAGTATAAGGTAATTTGCTTGTGTAGAGAAATTTGGTAATAAACTTGTGGTTCTAATGTTTAGGTTTTGCAGGCTAGAGTAACCCTCTGCACAGAAGTGGATAGTACAGACAGTGTTTTTCCTTTAGTTTTCTTTCTGCTTAGATCTTTTCATAACTTCTGTACTTTAACATCCAAGACAATTGAAAGGGTGGCTGTATTGGGTGTATGTGGCAAGGTTTTGGTAGCTGGGGGGTCTGGGGTGGTCCCTGTGGGAAGAGATTTCGGGCTGCTCTGTGCTGTACACAGCCGTTTCCAGCTGGCTGCACAACAGACCCACCTCAGACCAAAGCCGAGCCCATCAGTAAGGTTGATGGCACCTCTGTGTATTTAAAAAGGGGGCAAAAATGCCAGAGCAGAAGAAAAACCTGAGAAGAAAGGAGCAGCAGAAGGAAAATGCCATGTACTGATGGTAACCCCTGCCTCCCCCCATTGCCTTGGTGAAGGGACTGAGTGTAACCGGCGGCGTTAACAGAGGGGGGCAGAGGAGTCCGGAGTGAAGTTGAGCCTGGAAAAGTGAGAGGGGGAAGATGTTTTCACTTTGTGTTTTAATGTTTGTCTTTTTGCCTCCCAGTACCTGAATTAGTTACATATTAATTGGCAATATATTAAGTTTATTCCCTCAAGTTGAGTCTTTTTCCCATGATGGTAACAGGTAAGCGATCTCCCTGTCTTCATCTTGAATTCAGCTGCTTTGGGGATAGCCTCCGTTCTACTCTGTTAGTCGTCTTCACCCAAACGAATGCAGCATTTTCGGTTGTAGTTTACAGTCATAGTAGGAAATCAAACTCCTGTTACAGCTAAGTCTTGAATTATTGCTTAGAATCTTAATGTACAAGTCCAATTCGATATTAATGGAGCAAAGTCCAGCCCTGTTTGCCTCTAGTTTTATTAACCTAACTGCACTTTCTCAGGTTACTGAAGTGTTTAGTAGGACTCGAAATGGAGAGGATGTGAAGATAACAATCACGTTGACTAATGAGTTGCCACCTACTTCACCTACATGTCTGCAGTTTTACAACATCATTTTTAGAAGGTTTGCTGTCCAAGTTATGTCTTTATAAGAAGTCATTCTAAAAACACCTGACTTAAGTTTTTCCTTTCGGAAGAATGGACTACAAATCAATATTACAAATGCAAATTTTTAAGCCTTTGTAGCTACCGTTACTATGTGGTCAGCCACATCTGGCAACATTTTAATGTGCAGTTATATGCACGTTTCTGGCATGTGTTACGTGAAATGAGTTTATACCTTTTCCCTGAGCCAGCAGATTCACACTGGAGTGATAACTGTCGTGGGCAGCTAGTCCTATCTCTGCCCTCGTTTCGTGTCTGTGGATTTGCCTCTTCAAGCAAATGGTAATGCAGGACCTTGAACTGGCAAATGACTTCTTTTTGCTGTAGTGTTTCCACTTAACCTTGGTCCCTGGACTACCTGGTTCATCTGAAAGGTAGCTACTACTGAAGCTGCTACCTTCAACTGGTTGGTGAAGGGTTGGGTTGTATGCTAACTTAACTGATTGTTATTAATAAGTATACATGGCCTTTCTAAACTGAGTTTAATGAAAAGTTCACATTCATGCTTGTTTTGTATGGTCAGATGAACAAAAAATGAGGTTGTACAGAGGGGTGGGACTATGCATAGTTTGATAAACTGAATAATAATGGTAAATGACATCCGTATTTCAATTTCTAGGCTTTTGAAGATGTTGAATTTGCAGCAGATTGGACGTAATTATTACAACCCCAGTGACCCAGTCAGCATCCCTAATCACAGGTTTGGCAAAAAGGATGCTGGGATTTAGCAGGGGTGCAGGGAGAAAGGATGATATTTTGATACTGCTCTGGTGATTTATCTTGTAATAAACCCATGGACTTGAAAACTGGACGCCCAGGAGGCGTGAGACCTCATTCTCCTAACTTAGTTTCTTCTGTGTGTAGGATCTCATTACTCTTCACCAGGGTATGTGCTGCTATTACATTTTACTCCGATGTCAGAAACCTCGCTTAAATGTCTGTAAGGCTGAGGTCTCTGAATACTTTAATTCTAAAGGTCAGGAGTGTCCAGCCTTCATTCTGAGGGCTGTTTAATCTGCCATGTAAATTCAGATCTGGCCATACCCTGCTGGGTAGTTCTGGAGCTCCCCTGTTGCTAGCTGTTGTGTCTTGTAGGGGACCCGGGCAGGGAATGGGGGCAATGTGACTGGTGCTTCTGGCTAGCCCGAGGCCTGTCGTACAAGTTGGGAAGCATGAGTTCGACTGGGGCCCCATCATATGGCTGTGGTTTACTCCTTGCCATTAACCTAGCCTACATAACCTGCTTGAAGGAAGAAACTGGACAGTGTTCTACTAGATGCACTGTTGGTCTTTTTAAAATGTCTTGAATACCCATGGCACTTTGTATTTAAGATATTTAAGACTAATAGCATGAAATGGATCTCAGGTTTTGAGGCATCCTTTCTTTCACTTTGCTTATATTGCTACATCATTAAATTAATCTTTTTTTATCTTAAGTGACTAAAGATACCTGCATATAAAATATTTTTGGTTTTGTTAACTTTCAGGAGCTTGTTTATATTTGGATAATGGTTTCTTTGTGCCTTGACTGCTTTCTGGTGTCTGGGAAAGTGGACAGAAATAACTCAAGGGGTGAGAATAGAGGTGCTTTAAAGCATGTTAAGATTCTGTATGTTCTCTTTTGACAGGTTGATGGTTTGGCCAGGCTTCACAAGCTCTATCCTCCAGTATGAGGAAAGCATTATGTTATGTACAGATGTGAGCCATAAGGTTCTTCGCAGTGAAACTGTGTTGGATTTTATGTACAGTCTGTATTACCAGGTTGAAGAGCAAAGATTTAGAGATGCCTGTGCTAAAGAGCTGATAGGCTTGATTGTCCTTACAAAGTAAGTCTCTTTGGACTCTTGTAGTCTTCTGTTTATTTTTATGTTATTTATTTAT